ACTCAATATTTAATGTAAATCATCAAGTAATTTTACAGGCATTATGAACCTGGCTGTCTTTATCTCCTTTCATATAATTATGGAAGTCATAGTAATATCTACTTTACAAAATTGTCATTAGGTCGTCCTGAAAGGTATATCCAACTTAATTCATTACGCCCATTGTCCACCACATTCCATTTTATATATTGTTGTTTATTACAACAACAAGTCAATACCATTATTCCAAATCCTGTACACCTGTGTTAGACAATGGAAACTTACAGATTTAAAGGTGTACAAATAAAAACAAATACATTTTGCATGTTGAACATTGGTCTGTATACGGTGCGTCTACTTTGGCAACTTACGATATTCTGCAGTTTCTTTAAACCATCTTTCTGATGAGTGAAGTTATTCTGAGATAGGCCGCTATTTTAGAAAGTTATTGATATATGTTATTGTTATTTTGCAATACAGATGTTTATTCTTGAATCTTTTTTTTTTCAGTTTATTTTATCTGATGGTGCTTGCTACAAGCCATACTATATCTAAAAGTAAAACTGACGAGAAAATATTTGATGAGGCAATAGACAGGCTTAGGGATTCTGAGTACTTCACAGAGTACACTGTAGGCAAACATGACCGATTTCACAAACACAGAAGACAGGAAGTGGCCAGGACAACAACGCAAAAAGCGAAAGAGGAAAAGATATTGGCAATGGCTAAAGTCCCAATCGCTGCCAAGAATAATAAGAAGTCCTTTCTCTCAAGTGCGACCATGCTAAATCTAATAAAAATGAAAAAGTATAAAACGTCTAAAAAATGTTCGACACGACGTAAAGGAAAAGGTAGGAAAACAACGAAGCAAAGAGCCGTACCTGTTGAAAAGTTTGATATTACAACAAAAACGAGACGACGTAGAAGAAAACGCAGAAGAAACTTTTCTCTTCAAATGCAAAAGCGATATGCGACGCCATTCGAGACATTACTGTCGACAACAGGTAAATTACCACTAAAATCTTTTAGAGAATACGCTGACCATTCTGGTTTAAGTCAGCGTATCTATTTCCCAACCAGTGATATTAAACTTGCTTACGAATTCCCTTTAATAAAGGAAGCGCCATCTACGGCTACAATATTAACAGATGCGAGTCAAGATTTTTTTGGAACCGCAGAGTTAGAAAATATGCTTGCATTAATCAAAGAGAGAGCTGCTTTAACGATGGCTAACGAAATGCCTTCTGTAACCGAAATAATTACCACAGCTGTCACAGAGACGACATTTGAAGCAGACCCTATATTACGGCACTATTTTCCAGGAACCACGGCTTTGAAAACTTTGTCCTCATATTACATGAAGCAGAAAAGAAGATTGAATTCAACAATCGCTCCCTTAGAAACTCGAGAAGATGGGAGTAGTTTTACAAGCAACTTTGTTTCTTCGGCTTGTTGTTTTGAATGCCATTTACAGAAACAAATTAAAGAGTTATTACAAGCCATAAAAGACAAGCTTAGTTTTGCAAAGAAATGTGTCACATGTACGACAAGAAATTTTATTGAAGCGGAGGCAGCCATCCGTAAAACAACGGACAAGATGAGTATGAATGCGAATAAAAACGCAAAAGAAACCACTCTGCACTTATATAACGATACAGATATAATGATTACAACAGAAAAAATTCTGATAGAAAAAAATGTCAGGAACAGCACAACTAAAAAAAAGAGACTATTTCGTCACCACGAAAGTTCAACTAACGTGCCTGACCAACAAACATTAGCAGTAGACGACGACTATGCCTTGTTAAAACGGTTTGAATATGTTCTCTCTAAATCCCACGAGGACAATGTCATTAGGATGCTTACAAAACCCAATAGTGTTATTTTCTATAAACGAAACGAGAACAAAGTACCAAAAAGAAACCAAGAAACCATTGAAGACTTGAATCTTAAAGAAAATGTTAGAAAACTAGTCGATTCCTATCCTATGCCTGATGAATTCGATTACAATAAAGACGACAATGGTTTCGAAGCATCTAGAAAAGAAGATTACGATGAAAAGGCAGCAGTATTAAACAATGGTTCAACAAGTGCTAGTATTACTAGTCTAGAAGGTCTGAGTAAATGCTTATCTTACAAAGAATATGTAGATGGTTTTAAAAATTACTTGAACTATGTTAGAGACACAACGTGTTCCAACTTTTCTAATCTTGTTCGCTACCAAGCGCATAGGCATCATAAAGTTGAAGATATTGGCAAATTCATTCTTGATAAAATTCCAAATACAGTACCTCAAATGAGGAACAAAAGGCGGTTCCTTGATGATTCCGATGGTGATGATGAGGACTTGTCGACAAAAAGTGATGAATCATGGTTTAAGAGGCATTTCTACTTGTTTATAGACACTGATCCTTCAAAGAAGTACCATACTACACGTACGGTGTCGTCGAAACATGCAAGAGATACAACTGAGCACAAACGCCGAAAAAAGTCTCCTGCGCCAGTCGCAAAAGAAATCACCAGAGAAGAGACAAAAACCGTGTTAGATGGTGATTATGACGATATATTAAAATTTCTAGATTATTCTATACACTCTCCCTCTCTCTATACACGGGAAAGTAATGGTGGGTTATATTTCTTATTTATTAGTTGTAACAAGGAGGTCCGGTCATATTGCAGATGGATTTGCTTAAAGCTGTTTGCGTTCTATGACCAGTTAAAATGTGGTCGGACCTTTTATTATACCTGTTTAGTTAATGCTGGTGGTAGTTATTTCGCACATGTTACATCGAACAATTAAGTTATTTTCAGTATCATGAAATTAACCTAATACACATTGAAATGCGAATGGTGAAATTAACATGAGACTTGTCAACTTATGTCTCAGGGTGACGGGCACAGTGACAGTGCCAGTTGCAGTGGCACTGCAACTGCTATGGACAGGCGTGTAGCTTACGACTTGATATCATTAAAATAAAAATAAAAAAGATACAAAAATAATTGCTACTAAAGAATCTTAACTGTGCAGATAGCTCACTCAAATTTGCGTTATCACGTACTCAGCTAAGGTGCTCTTGTAAAATGAAGGTTACTCACCATAAAAGCTACCTATGTAACCGTAAAACAGTTTATCTAGTACTTATTATTACTTTTCAGAAAGGACGGAAAAGACAACGTTAAACAATTTTACAATGGCAGCCAGCAAAACGCTACCAACCATTGAAACTTCTAATGACATAACGACGAAACACAGGAATTTCTTTGGAAAACTCTTTGGAGCAAGGGGTTCCCAAACTAATCCGACAACGGAGGAAAACAAAGCTGCAGCCATATATGACATTATTATTGACTATCCTGAAAGATTGAAGAGAAGTGACGATAGCCACTTCTCAGTTTTTACTGAAGCTCATCAATATAAGAAATCTACTTTACCTATCATCATGGACACGACAACGTCAACGAATAATGGTAAAAAGCATGTAGGTTATGCTAACATACAGTCAAGGACAACGATGGTGACAATATCATCAAAAATGAGCAAAAAACGAGGCAAGTTCAAGACGCTTTTAAACAAAATATTTCACAAAAAACAGAAAGGGAAACAAAAAAGAAATGCTCTTGCAAAGCTGCATAGGGAATTAAGTTTCAGTCCTTTTAGGCAGCTGAAGAAAATATTCCAAGGTAGTTCTTCAAATCAATCACCAAGCAAATTGACAGATGATCCTCCCATTACTAATTCTAATAAACTTTACTCTAACAAAGGAAAAAAATTCATTGAAAACGAAAGGAAACTGTCAGATCCTGTTGAGACTAGCTTACATAAAGAAAATAATGGGATGGCAAAATTTAGTTTCAGCAACAAAAATATCTATCCTACTGAAGATTATGGAGGATTCAATATAGAGGACATCCAGAAACAATTCAATTGGAAATCGCTGAAACAAGATGAAGGTTTTGGACTTACACCAGACGAAAATGTTAGAAAATATTCGACACTCAAGTATAATCCAACTTACTACAAAACGAACGATTACATTGAAACTATTGAACCTAACAATGAAAACTTAACTTTTTATAATAAATATCAAAATCAAGTTCATTATCTGATAAGGGACAATGTGCTGAACAAGGATTTTACGCGTGACTTGAAATTGGGTTCGTCCATATTACCTTTCATCAAAAACTTCAACACTTTCTCGCGAATTCCCTATGGTCACAAAATTTATCCTGGTCTTGAATTGAATCCTAACGCAAACTTTGACTCGTACTCAAAAAAGGTGAACGTAAATTTAGGTCCAAATACCAAAAACGGTAAATTTGAGACAATCCCCGACTATGATCAAATAAACACGAATGATGCTAAGAATATAGTCCCTAAGTATGGGAATGGTGCCAACAACGGACCTGGATATTCTTCAAGCCCCTTGTGGCTGCCTAAAGATACTACCGACGGGGAGAAAAAACTCGAAGAGAGCAAAGCACCTAGCAAAGGTAATGCTGGTAAGCTAAATATGACAAAAAATCGATCTCTAAAGTCACGTATTTTCGAAAAGTTTTGAAAGATGTCATCAAGATGCTGGTTTTCCTTGCCTTTCGAAAATGTTGCGAATAACATTCTCAACATTTTCGAAAGGCAAATACGTTAGTGACTAATTTAAAAACCTAAACTATTTGAAATCTATATTATTTTTCTTACAGGAATACTACTGGATCTGGTAAAACTCGGTTCTGTGGCAAACACAAGACCGTCAGCTCCAACTAAAAAAAATAAATTTGAATTCAATTACCACATACCAACCATTAAATTTACTCAATCTACTGTTACCGCACACGATAATATAGGAGGAATTCTAGACGATTTAGAAAGAAAGTTACAGTCAATACCAGACTACGCAGTGCAGAATTTTGATTTTAAATTCAACGCCAAAAAGCCTGATTACCATGGTTTCAATTTATTTAACCACGAAGTTGACCAAAAGAAACACGGCGTCAACGAAGTATCTGCACTTACAGTAACCAAAATGACAACTACTGGCAAACTCTTTGCAGAGCCTACAACAAGGTCAAAAACAAAAAAAACTACTCCAGATAGACATCGTGGTCAAAGACCACAACAATTCAAAAGTAGCTATAAGAGCTCACAGACTTCAAATCCCTCTAATACAATGCGTTTTGAAAGATTCACTAAAAAAGGAAAACCTACAATCCAGTGGGACAAAAAATATTCGTCACATTTTAATGACAAGACATTGAATACCCACCGTCTGGAAAATGATACCTTATTACGCCTCCAGGAAGCAATAAAAACATCAACATGTACACCTGGCGCCATGAAAGAAAGATATCCATATTTAAACTCAAACTACAAAGACCATCGGTTTAAATATATATTCCATGATTATTTCAACGATTTATTGGTATGGCATAATGACACATTGAATAAGAATATCGCCAATGTTTGGGATCCTGTTAAAGGGCTACATAAGGATATTTTCACAATCCCCGGAAAATTGGAAAGTTTAACAAAAGAAGTTGATTTAATGAATAAATACTTAACCAGCTTCGAAGTTTTGCGATCAGGTGCGTTCAGCTTCTGTATTTAATAGGGGATAAAAATTTGGAAGGCCTTACAGTGACATAATAGTGGCCAATTAGTATCATCACCAATTGGGGCTTCACATGTTACTCAAGAGTTGTGAACATTCTGCATCGTGCAGATTTCTTCGATATTTTCACCAAAAAGCTCATGGTAAATTCCAAATTAAATTTCGCACGTAAATTCCGAAAAAGCAGGAGGTGCGAGCCCGAATTCGAGCCCACGTCCTCTGCTTGAGAGGCTGTAGGTCAAAGGGTAGGTAAAACCACGGTATCTGTAAATTAGTATATACAAAATATAAAAGCAGATTAAATACATTGCGATCTCGACTTTTTACGAAATAGACACTATCCTTACGGATCCTAATCGCGTACATGTTTTATCAATCAAATTTCGACCTCGAGTAACCCGCCGTTACTCTGCGCAAGTACATTTGCTGCGCAACTTACTTTGCTGGTTTGTAAAACTGTGGTGTGGTGGTGTAATTAACATTTTGTTAGATTCTTTGCATGTGTAAATAATAAAGGTTATAAATTTAAGGAGATGGAAATAACATGAAGAACAAGATAACGAAACTGAAAAAGTTAATTAACAAAACTGAAAAAGATGTCACAAAAGCTATGCAAGTGGAAGAAGACAGAATTTCCCAACAGATGAGAAATGAAATTGCACCATCTGACAAGAATTCTAAATCGAAAATGAGCCTTGTCCCTCCCACAGGTAAGTTGAGAGTCATCATTATCATATCAGCCGGAAGACGTCCACTGCTGAACATAGACCTCCCCAAAAGATTGCCAAACTAACCGGTCGGACGCAACGTGCATCCATCATCGGTTACCCGCCGCCCTTACCAGGTCATCCGTCCATCTAGTAGAGGGCCATCCCACTGAACGCCTTCCGGTTCGTGGTCACCATTCGAGAACCTTCCCGCCCCAACGGCCGTCAGTTCTACGAGCTATGTGCCCTGCCCACTGCCACCTCATCCTTTGGGCTTTGTCGGTGACTTTCGTTCTTCTACGAATCACCTCATTTCTGATTCGATCACGTAGAGAAATACCGAGCATTGCTCGCTCCACGCCTCGTTGAGTATCTTTGAGCTTTTTTTTTTGAGGCCCATAGTAAGTGACCACATTTTAGAGCCGTAGGTCAACGCTGGCAAAACGCACTGCTCAAAGACTTTTGTCTTCAAGGACTGCGGTATTGTGGACGAGGAGACGTCCCGGAGCTTCCCGAAAGCTGAGACGAGAAGACGTCCCGGAACTTCCCGAAAGCTGGGACGAGAAGACGTCCCGGAGCTTCCGGAAAGCTGCCCAACCGATTCGGATTCGACGATTGACCACTCCGTCGAATCTGAGTCTGCCTAATTTGACGGTTTGTCCAAGGTAGACATACTCGTCAACAACTTCGAGAGTAGATGCTCCCACTATTGTAGGAGTGGGTACAACATGGACATTGGACATATGTTTCGTCTTCTCCATGTTCATTTTTTGACCCACCTACTGGGAAACTCTATTGCTGTCACTGAGCATGGTGCCAAGCTCTTCCAACGATTCTTATCGTCAGCAAATCGAAGGTGAGTGATGAACTCGCCATTGATGTTAATACCGAGTCCTTTCCAGTCCAGTAACTTGAAGGCATCTTCGTGGTGAACATTTTTGGAGAAATGACGTCTCCTTGTCGCACTTCTCTTTGCAATTGGATAGGTCTCGTGCACTGGCTCTGGAGTCGAACTAACATAGTGGCGTTTCTGTACAAATACTTCAACACTTCCATATATCGACAGTCAATGTAGCACCGTTGTAGAGACTGTGGCACCGCCCAAATCTCAATCGAATGAAAGGCTTTCTCATAGTCCACAAACGCTAAGCATAATAGCATGTTATACTGCTCGGTCTTCTGTAGAACCTGCCACAGCGTGTAGGTGTGGTCTATGGTACTGGAGCCTTTTTGGAAACCAGCTTGTTCGGGGGGCTGGAAGTCATCGAATCTGCGCGCGAGACGGTTCGTGATGACTCGTGAAAACAGCTTATAAACGTGGCTTAGAAACGAAATGGGCCTGTCTCCTTTTTTGAAGAGAGTAGCACCACGCTTCTACTCCACGCTTCTGGCATATAACCTTCGAGGAAGACTGAATTAAAGAGCCTCTGAAGGACTTTTAGTGCCAGTGTTCCACCCGCTTTCAGAAACTCCGATGTAATTCCGTCTTCACCCGGTGCCTTGTTGTTTTTTAGCTCTAGGATCTTTTGAATCGGCAACATGCTGAGTAATCGAGGCATATAGTTGGCTTAGAACCTCCCGAACTCTCTCAGTACCTCTAGCTTGGACGATACAAGGCTACCATTTTCCATTGTAAGCTGACTTTGCCCAATAGATATGTCCCTTGCAAACACTTTGGAGTCCTTATTCCGCTCTATGGTATCTTTAATATTGTTGATATTAAAGACCCGTATGTCGTGTCACATGGACTTCCACATGTGTCTATTGAGCTGTCTGTAGACTTTAGTATCCTCTGAGGACTGCAGCGTCATAGTGCATCGATTTGTCATTAGTTTGTAGTATGATCGAAGAGTTTCTGCAGCCTGTCCTTGCGGCAGGTCCTAAAGAATTTTGACGCGACCGTGCGGACGGTCTCCACCAACCTGTTGCTAATCTCGTCCACAGAGACGCGTGCTGTAAGCTAAGGGAGAGCTGTAAGTTCAAAGTAAATATAATATATTAAGAAAAGTATGGTGACTCTACACAAACGTGGCAGCGCGGTTTGTATGTGTGTACGCCCGCCCGCGTGTTCGAACGCACACATACGCATTTATAAACTCGCGATGTGTTTTTTTTTATTTATTTGTGGCAACAAACAGTCATACATGAAACAGTAATTATTTACATATATTTCTCTCAAAAATTTAGATTAAATTAAATTGCTAGCACTATAGGTCTACCTATAGTGCTAGCAATTTAATAAAAATTATAATAACTGAGACGACTATGACATGTTATTTTGTGTAATTATTTGTAATGATAACATTCTTGTGTATCATTGTTAATAAAATTTTACAAGACGGAGTTTATCAAACAATAGTACTTATTAAATGCCATTTACAATTTGTAGTGCCAGTAAATTTACTAAGAGTGGTGTCAAAAAGATTATATATAGAGTTATTATACATGTTGGTGGAACGGTAAATGAAGGAATTGCATATAATTTACGAAGTGGTGGGGGACAAATAGAGGACGTTTGCGAGAAGACCGTATGGGAAGACGCACACGAGCTACGAATCGTATCCTGCCCAGAAGCTCAGAGAATCAACTTGATTATTTAGCATTTTATATAGTGAAATTAAGTCAAACATTTTACGCCTACTTTGAAGACATAATAAGTTATATTCTTTTAGGGAAGTTTCGTAAGAAACACCCCATGTGTTACGACGGTAATTAATTGATCTAATGAGCGTTTTTTGGATCTTTTCTATTCTATTGATATGAACCTGAAAATATATTATTCCATATAACACTGCCGAAATCTAAAGTAGACGTAAAAAAAGCAAAATATAAAGTTTTAAGGATACCAATTTTATTAAATGGTTTACTGATTCTAAATATAAATCCTAATCTGCGAAATGCAGACTTATTATGTGGTCTATGTGAAGATTAAATGATAATTTTGAATCCATAATTATACCAAGGTCTCTAATGTGATTCACTCTCCTAATGGACTTGTCTTTAGGTTTGTATTCGTAATTGATAATATGAGTTTAGCGCGTGTATGTAATAAATATTAAGAAATAGTTGGTTGGACTCGCAATACCTATGAGATTTCAAGTCTTCTTGCAATTGAATGCAATTATTATACGATTTAATCAGTTTAAAAAACTTTCAATCGTCAGCATGAGAACAAGAAGTTAGTTTATATCGAAAGTGGTTTGAGTCTTCACGAAACTCGAAAACTCTATGGCAGTGGAGTGCGTCCCCCGTCTACGAGCTCAGGGCTTGGTGAATCAGAACCGCCTTAACATTAGGCACACCCCATACAACAGTCGAAAGTTATTTACATACAACTACTACTACATACAGCAACGCGCTATCTGCACCCGCGCAAATGTGTGCGTTAAGTGGCAGGGTTACCCATCACTTTCTTGTACGTGGTCAGAGCGGCAACATAGCGAAAATTCTTACACGTGTTCATTAGGTGTTTACATCAACTTTAATTTAAATAAGATAACCAAGGTATTTGAAATTACGTGTCACTTACAAATTTATCGGCAATACAAACGTCTCATTATATTGATGTAATAAATCTGTGTATATTATATATTACTCTGCACTAAATATATGAAGAAAACAGTAACTGAATGAGTCTCAGGCATAAGTTTCTTTACTTATACACCGTTATGTATTAACGTACAAGTTTCGTAATGAATAAGTGAAAACTGTATTCAAATATCACAGCCGTCTTAGCGCGAAAACGGCTTGCCGACAGCCTTGTTGTCGTTCAGTCAATGTGACCGGCAATGTGCGGGGCGTGGTGCTGTATCTAAACCTAGGGAGGGTCGGAGAGTGTCCATTCTTGTTACTTTTTTGTTCTCTGCATCAGGTGAAATTCTGGTTAAGCCTTTGTCTATTTCATATTTCTCGCACACAATTATGTACGCGAGACTCGAAAACGGTAGTTTCTCAGATATATACAATTTTTGCATTGTAATTTTGCAGATAAATCAAAGAACAAGAAATTAAAACACAGTGTACGAACACCCTACAAGCATCGTGCAGCAAGATTCAATCTGATACCGCGAAGAAAGCTCAACAACTACCAGATAAATCAGGACGTTGAAAACACAATTGACCGTCCGTTTAACGCTACTGCATTTGGTAACAACGGTTTTTAAATTATGATATTAGACCTTGTCCAGAAGTAGAGATTGAAAAACTGCTTATTTTTTTAAACATTTAAACGTTATGCTTTTTTAAAAAAAAGCGTGCTTTTTTAAACTCTTTTTAGTTTGAAGCTAACAAAATCGTTTGGAAAACATTTAAGCGCATAGACTTTTATGTTAAAAAAAGCTTGCAACGTTGTGTTGATAGCGTAACGCAAGAGTAGACCATTCAAGGTTTTAAGATAAGTTTTTTTGTAAAAAAACGAGTTATATTTTTATCTATGTCATAACATTATTATATTTAACATATTGTTCATTGGCGTTTAAAAGCGTTCAAAAACATGAGTTGTTTAACTTTTGTAGTTAACCGTTGAAATGGAAAAAAACGGCATCTTTTTTTAACATAAAAACGTACGTTTAAAAAGCGTGCTTGTAAAAACGCCTTTCGCTTGAACGCTTAAAAAGTCGTTTAGAAAAACGTAAAAAGCTTGCAACGTTATGTTGAATTAATTTGTTTTGAAAACATAGATGGCGCTACTTGAAACTTAAGCACGTTGTAAAAAATGAAATTGTTGATACCTATAGAACTGACCAGTGACCAACGCTTAAGCTTAAAATGAAAAGCGTACTTATGCGCTTATTTTAAAAAGCAGACTTTTTAAGTGCTTTTCGTCTAAACGCCCACCTCTATCCAGAAGTGGTGAATTCGCCACGATTCGTCTGTCGGCGAGGTACTGGACGCTTGGACCCTGTCCAGAAGGAGCGAATTCGCCGCGTAATACGCGCGTACGTTGCGTCCAGAAGAAGCGCGAAGTTCAGAGCGAGTGCCCGTATCTGGCGAAATCTTAGTTTATTTTTTCCATTCCCTATATTATTTTTTTTTAACATTAGAAATGAGGTAAACAAAGTCAAATTCAAATAATCATTCATTCTATTGGTAAAATTTTTAAACTTGAAAACGTCATTTTTTAAGCTAATGCTCGTTCACTACGCTGACCTCCCCGAGAAGAACAAGCAAGAAACTCTAGGGATTGTTCTTTTAGAATATACTTAAATGCTATAGAATACATTTTGAATCATATTTGTGTGGAATCTATCTAACACAAACGTGTCTACAATTTTGTAATATGACTTTTCAATTAAAACACTTTTAATATATAAGTTTTAAACTTAGGAAATGGTAAACTTAATATATGCTCCGGAATCTTATTGTAAATACGTGTACAGCGCCCCATAAAAGAATCGTTTACCTTAGTTAAACGAAATCGTGGTACCATGAATTTGGACTTAGTTCTAAGGTTAATATGATGCATATCTTCTTTCTTAACGAAATTATGAAAATTTTTACGAGCATACAAAATATTGGGTAAATGTACTAAGATCCCACAATCATGATACCAGTCTCCTTACACTTTTCTCTGAGACAAATCCGAGAACCTAAACGGTGCACAGAACGAATCTCTCGTGTTTGCAAACATAGAAGTAGGGTTTGTAAACATTTTTCTTCTGAAATTTATAACAAAAATTTAATGATGGTCATTTTTCTAGTTCTAAATAAGCAATAAAAAAGGAACAGTGAATAAGCGTGCTGTTAATTATTCATTGGGTCTTTGTGGTCGATGCTTATAGTTAATAAACAACCTACTATAGTTGTTATAACCTCCGTATGCAATTTGGCTATTAGACCAGTTCTTTTGATTACCTCGAGTCTGGATGAATATTTTTATACCTAAAAATGCTACGGGTATAAAAATTACACTTCTGAAATTAATAACTTTGACATTAAAAACTAGTTTAGGCATGTACAAATATTCAAACTCAAATTTTGTTTTATGCCGTTTGAATTGAAATTGAAACGCTTCATTAGGACGCAACACGCGCGAGAAGATAATTGCAGCGAATTCGCTTCTTCTGGACAAGGACTTATTGTTTATACAAAGAACGAACACAACGAAAAATTCCTTTGATCTTACTCAATTAGTATTTGTTACCTTTCCGAAGTCAGCAAAATGGCGGACTCCTTCTCTACCATGACATTACAGTGACAGTTCTCGCTAGCGATCGCGTTAAATATTTGTATACAAAATGTTGTCAAGTAATTTACTCAGTCGCTAGCGAGAATTTACTGTATCCTCATGGTAGAGGCATCGAGTAGAATCCGAACTAAAGTTTTACAAACCACACAGTTGTGCAACGAATGTGCTTGTGCAGTGTAATTGCGGGGTATTCGTGGGAAGTGGGGAGGCCGCATCCTGCAAACACGCTCAGTTTGCCGGAGCGAGCGCTAAAGGTTGTTGTGTTACAATATTTTTCAATACGTTCAGCGTGTTCTACGGAAAATCGTTGTATGCATATATGACACCTTACCTTACCTATTTTCTACTTTAACTTAGTTTTTTATGGTACCTAGTGACACGGGATGAACAAGTCGTCCGCCTGGTGATAAGAGAGGCGTCCATAACGGTTGTTCCCACAGTCCCACTCTGAGCTTGAATCTCAAAGATGTTCATGGGGCATTGCCCGTCACCCTGAGACATAAGTTGTTAAGTCCCATGTGCCTGTAATTTCACCAGCAAACTTAACCTTCCAAACCGGAACGCAGTAGTGCTTACATTACAGCTTGGCGGCAGAAATAGATAATAAGGTGGCCGTACTTCCCTGGACGAACTCTTTCACAGGGATTTCTACTGCTACTACAACTTCTTTCATGTTTGTTCGGGTCCCTATCTATCCCGAGAGACAGGATAATCCGGAGAGACTAAGAGCTCGACGGCAAGACCAGGGTATGGCGGGCGTCCGGGCCAAGCCCGCTGTCAGTCATACGCCTTCACGGGCGTCTCTAGCGGACCCGGACTTAGGTATGGACTCGCCGGGGTTTGTGGTTAGCTGCAGGGAACGGACACGTTCGTGTGCTCCGGTGGCGTGTGGCCGGGGCATTCGTCCCGCGCAGCTAGCGCGTCTTAGCAGCGGTCTAGTTGAGGGCCTGAGGCTAGGGGACGCACGGGGCACGTGCTTTGCCCTTTAAGTCGATGGCTATGTCCGGACATTGTCACTAGCCCGGAGCTAGTAGAGGATGAGCTAAATATTTTCCGGTTCCTCCGGCCGCGAACTGGAGAGATGCCGTTCATTCGGTGTCGGGAAGTGAGCATACCTTACAGCTCCGCCACCAATGAGGAGATTTGGTAGTCGGCGGCTCAGCGGTGGCAAGCGTTAGTCGTGCGGAGCGCGACGGGAAGTGAGCGTGCCTACAGCTCCGATACTTGCCTGGAAAATAGGGAGCTGTACGTGATCCCGCGGCGGCTCACCTAAGGCACGCCTTACAGAGAACCGGATGAAATACGTTCAAACGTGCTGATCCGGGGTTAGGACCTGACTTGAGGTTTATAGGAAGGGGCACTATAAACAAAACTTATGTAGAAAGATATGGGACTGCTCGGTGTTTGCATCAATAATAGTAAAAAATAGAAGTGTATTTAAAAATAAATACAACTTTGAAGGTGGTCATGTTATTTATTAAGAATTATTTTAATTTTTTTTCAGACGTGGCTAAGGCCGATTATGAAAGTAATGATCCAACGTCATTAGATACAAATGTGTCAACAGTTAATGATACAACTGACGTGCTCTTCGACAAAGTCAGATGTAAGTATGATACATCGTCATTAGCTTACACGTGTCCACTGCTGGACATAAATTCTACACCTGAGCACGCCACGTCACCGTCTTGGCTCGCTTTCAGCCGCTACCATCCACCTTTCCCAGGTCGTCCTTGCTGCGGTTACCACTCTAGAACAAGTCTGCTTCCCCTTCTGCTGTCATGTCCGACCCTTTTGCGAGCTATGCCAGTCATGTCAGTCGCTTTAGTTCGATGCATGACTTCATTAGGAATTCTTTCCATCAGAAAAACTCCAAGCATGCAAGCAAGCGTGATACTCTAGTTGCTAATAATGACATCAAGTGGCCAGCGTTTAGCAACGTGCCTTCCGCCAGAAACGCTCGACAACCCTAGCGGTTTATAATTACATCCAAAGTATCCTAGAATGCCTTGCTGCTAGATATTTCCAAAGCTTCCACTTCCAATCCTAATAACCAAATTATATGAAGTTGGAATTCGTGGCAATGCTCTCAATTGGCTAAAATCATTCCTAAAAAATAGACAACAATATGTACAAGTTGAGTACCTTCGACAGGATTCAGAACAACTAACCAAACTACAGTCAAAGTGGCGAACTGTCAACAGCTATGTCCATCAGGGTATCGTATTGGGGTGTGAGCTTTTCCTGATATCACAAGTGTATTCTATTTGCAGACTATATCTCCTATTTAATTACCCTAATAACCCCAATAATAACCCTAACATCAAAAAAACCTTAAATTACTTCTCCCAATGATCACACTTTGTTGGTTACACAGCCTAGACTAAAATTATACAATTCAGACCCCATCAAAAACGTCCAACCGTAGGTCGCTCATTATTATTGGACCTAAATATGGAGGAGGTGACTGATTTTACCCTGTTAGGACTCAAAATAAACTCTCACCTTGACTGGAATGAACATAAATAGCAAAAATAAAGTCCAAATTTTCCTCCTTTCTTTAACGTATTAATATCAAACACACCGACTGCGCACTGTCCGCATATCACGCTTACGCTCAGGCCTGGCTTCGCCATGGTGTATTGTTATGGGGCCATAGCACAGACTCACGTGAATTCATTATAATCCAAAAAATGCGTACTAGCTAACATCACTCAAACAGACAGCTACAAGCCGCATTTCATAAACCTCTTCTCTCTATATATTCTAGAAGCCGCTACATTTGTTCGAACCTCGGTCTATTTGAATTTAACAAGAGTGCACGTCACAAAGACAAATCCTTTTCCTCAAATCCTCCCAGAACCGATCCTGGAAATATTTAAAAAAGGTACATACTACAGAGGAATACAAATCTATAATAAAATACCCATTCATATAAAAAAATATCCAAAAACAGTTTATTCACCTCCAATCTGAAGACACTTCTAATAAATTTTAAAACACTCCAAATTTTAAAAGAACAATACTTTCGATCTGAAATTCTACATCCAATATCTCACAATACAATTACAAGACAAATAACCAAAACAATATTGCAAAAGCCTAAATTCAACAACTACTATGGCAAACGAACATCTGAATATATTGTACCAGAACAAATTAACCAATTCAAAAATCTAAATATCAAAATCATACTCAAAAGATATTTTTCAACACACACAGATACGTAATGTTCAGGCACTAATTTTTGTCATAAAATTTTACTCCATAATGTTTATTCACATTTAGTAATAATACATATTATTTATAGATACTACATATACTATAAAATATATACATTTAAAATTAAACTTATTCTTTGTGTTTTTGGGGCGTCCTATGTACACTTGTTAACAAACCGCTTTCCGGTTCGCTCAGTATCTAGTCGAATAATGAAATAATGAATACTTTGCAGGTAGCGTCTTCACTGTCGTATAAATGTATGCCTCCAAATAAAGATAAAAACAATGTCTACCTACTTTTAAGATCGACTAGAAAGAATCGATTTATTTTTATAGGCCTATTCTGTGTACGGACATGACATGAATGTGTGTTTTATCTGTGTATTTGTAAAAATAAGCTAGTGTTGTAAACTTCACACAAACGTGTCAGACCATGGTGACACAATTCAATTTTGCATTTGAGTGCACCTGTTTGCTTACAGTACTACCCCCAAAAAAAGTCACAGAAAGTTTTGTTCGAGAAATAACGCTAAAGCGCCTCCCATCCTATATGCTCTAAGGTAAATAGCAATGGTACCCTTTTTCTGACTAAAAAGAATCATCTAAATCCATTCACACAAAAAAATACTGTCGAAGACACGGCAACACTGAGTCTGCCTTACAAATGAGCAGTCAGTAGAGCAGTGTAACCATTTGTGGCACATTTCTGCCATTTGTGCAGATTTGGCAACTTATTTTCTCTGTGACAGATCATGGTAATGTTTTATAAAAATGGCAGATTTTCGCAGATTTTGTAGTCCAAATTTTTTATTGTTTTTGGAGAACAAAATTAACAGTTATTAAGTTAAAATTAAAATTTAAAATTAAGAATTATACAATCATTTAAAAACACTTATCTTTCATAATCATTAACGAAGAAGACATTAAATTTGATATTTATTTGTAATTTTTAGAGTCATAAAGTTTTAGTTTAAAAATAACTTGAGACTTGTTAAGTATGTCACGGTTTAAGTTGAAAGAAATTTATTAAAATACGTTTTTTACGTTTTTATACGTTTTTTAGAATAATAACGCATGGAAACCTAGCCCGCACACGCTAAGTGAGGCAAATTGAAGCGTTCCGAATGGGCCTACACGAGCGGGCGGGCCGTCAGTGCTCAAGGTCAACTAGCACCGCGAACAGCTCAAGAATTTTAGCTAAAAATTACGAAATGTGCGGTAAATGAGTGTAAAAATACGTCAGACAAACATAAAATAGATACTAACATCACATTCCGCAAGGAAGTAACGCGTTTCAACTTGTATTTTTATATAAATATTCACTAAAACCGAAAATTAAACTACTACTAAAATAAGCCTACATGAATTTGATTTTTGCCTCACTTGTGACAGTTCGTTTGATATGAAATTATCATTCTGTGCGTTATTATTCTAAGGTTTTTTATTTCTTATTCCAAATGGAGACACTAAAATGTGGCCGCCATATTTTAGGCATTTTCTCAGAAGAGTTTGGTAGATTCCGGCAGATTATCAGCTGGTCAGATTCTCTATTTTCCTGATGGTTACACTGAAGTAGAGTTTTTTTTTTTTGCTTGGTTATTAAGTCCTTTGAGCCAGGTCTTCATTTAATTACCTGGGTCCTCACTATTTAAAGATTTTCTATTGTGTTTTTAACGTACTTATACAATGGCAAAAAGAACATTGAGTTTTTTAAGCTGCGGGAGACATTATTTATGTTTTCACTTTCACATAGGTCACTTAATTCACTTGCTAATAATATGTCACCAACTGAAGCGTTACAATGTGATTTTGAGTTTGACTCAACTTTGCCTATCAACTATTGGATAATGTAATAAATATTAATTGTTACAGCTTATAAACGCAATGAACATCATAAAGGAATTAATAGAAATGTAAAGGTTCGTAATGGTACATTGTGTATTAAAGGCTGTAAATAAGAAATTACTAAGGCTTCAATTACTCGAGGTTTGGAATTTTTTACCGCCCGTGCTACCTACAACTCACATTTGCGAGGAAATAAATATAATATTAATTTATTTCATGTATGAATGAATATCGCTTTACAATAACAATTACAGATTTTGCTAATTTTGTTAAAATATCGGGTTTTTTGGTTTTCTTTTATATTTATAAGCGGATGGCCAGCTATTCACCCAAGGATAATACAGGATAAGACAATTTGAACTAAAATGTTGTAAAAAGTAAAAACGCATACAGCCATGGTGGTAAAGATATAAAATAAACAATTTCACAGTACTAAGAATGCTGCAGAATTTGAATTTATAAAATTAATTTTGCAAATGTTTAGTTTTTTTATATATACTTCAAGCTTATATCAAATAATAAGTCAGATTTTTCGAACATTAAAACTTTTTGCTTAATCTTAACTTATATAAGAGAAGTACCAAGAGTGGAATAAAATTTTTTTAAATCCATTACCGCAATAAGGCTACCTTTCCACCACAGATGTAAAAGTGTGAGGTGCGAGGATGTGTAGCGGCGCGGTGAAACGGTGTGATGTTTTCCACTAAAGCTGTGCGTGACTCTGTTCAGCTATACGCGGGCTGGCTACGGTGTGGAGGGGTGAGGGGTGAGCTGTGGCGATGTGTCAGTGTCAGTTAGTGTCATACTTTCCAGTAGCTCCAGTTTGCAAACATTCCTCGCCCGCATCCCTCGCTATTGTGTATATACAAATACTTAGCTCCGCTAACCCTTTTCCACCGGAGCTGCGCTAAGCGAGGCTAGGAAAATGAAGTAATCCTATTGGTGATTTTTTTCCTAACACACCGCGTCATTACGTCGCACATTTCCGGTGGAAAGACAGCCTAAGCGGGCAATATAATGAAAAAGCCGTGGTCGTAGTTCAGCACATTACAGCTGACTTTGCCTGCATGTTATGACACTGTTTACGAGCAAGGGTGATGAAAAGATTATTTCAAAATGTAAACATGATTCCAAAAACTGAATGCCCCTAGGACTAATTTATATTGCTTATTGCTATGTACGCATGTATATTTCGTTAAGAAAATTCGCCTACATTTCGTTCGGCGGCAATATAAATTGAAGGAATTAAGCTTAGATATGAGCGCCGCGTCGTACGCACGCGCACGCTTCCATATTGTGTACGCGTAGTGAAAATGGCGACGCCAAAAATTGACATTTCGAAGATAAAACTTAGTGACTTTATATTCGAAGATGTTTTGTTTAAAACATTAATTTGTCAATTTCTGGCGTCGTCATTTTCACTATACGAACACAATACGAGCGCCTGATCGAACTGATAAAAATTTGATTAATATAGAAAATACGTTATTTTATTTCTTCCTTTGAAAAAGTATTTGTATAACGGTGTTTGTTAAAGCAAACACTTATACAAATTCGTTTCATGGTCGAGGCCGACGCGCCGCCGCCGCCGGTTGGTCTATAATCGGCGCTCATATCTAATTGAGCTTGGGCCTCAATATTGCAATATTCGTCTTATTTCTTTTTGTATCGACAACTAGATTTTTTGACACTAAGGCATTGACTTACAATTATATGGACATCGGGTCCGCGCTAAAAAGTGTCCGAACTTAGAACTTATAGGGCGTTAAAATCGTATACAGAGCGTCATTCACGGTTTAGTCTTCGTTTGTTCGACTGACAGCGAAGCAAGCAAAATTAGATAGTACTGCGATGACATTACAATTTAAATTCAACGTTTTAGCTTTTTCATATTCCTTTACATGTCACTACGTTTAAATAGGTTGACTTGGGACATTTTTTTCGTGGTTTTTGTATTAGACCCGTCGTCCATTTATTTGTAAGTCAATGCACTAAGGCTAAGATTTATATTTAAAAAGAAATTTTGAACTCGATTAAGCAAAGGTGGCGAACTAAGCAAGTTTTCCGTATTTACAAAACGAACTTTCGATCAAGTTATGAAGTGAACTTAGTACGAAAAATTAAATACGAGATTCTCATGTGGGGTAAAGCAGCAGATAGATATACAAACCATATTTGTGTTGCAAAAACGAGCGACTGGTTCTGTATACCGTTTTACCTAAACGGTCACGAGTTTCTCTCAGAGAAAAGTTTAAAAAAACTTGCAGACTGTGGCATCACAGTACATTTACTCAAATATTTTGTTTTATGGGGAACTGCATACGTTGTTACAAGAAAATTCCGGAGCATAAATTAAGATTATCATTGCCTAAGTTTAAAACTTACATTAAAAGTATTTTAATTGAAAAGTCATATTACAAAATTTAAGACTACGTCTTAGATAAAGTACAGAACATCGAGCATATAACCAGAAATAGAGACGAAATAGAGGCCATATATTCCTGGTAACACCTTAGTGATACAGCTCTTATAAATATCAACTCCCGTTTGCACTGAAATATAGACAGGCCAACTAATGACCTGTGTGTACGTCTCCGTATATTCCAAAAAATATTCTGTATTTATTGTAATAAATAATATCTCTAACAATGCCGTGCTGTTCTATTCGGTGGTGTGGGAAAAACAGCAAAACATCTAATTACAAAACAAACGGAATCAAGTTTAATCGGTAATTAAATATTAAATATGTAATTTTGCAATTTGCCTCCATTATAGCAAAGCTCAAGTTAACTGGTCGATTTGAAGTGAAACAATTGACGACACCCGTCAATTGTTTCGAATTCGGGCTGGCCAATCGGAGCGCAGTTGTCACAGTAATGATATGGTAGAATAGTTTTCAAACAAATTAAATGACATTTCGTCTCTATTTCTGGTTAAATACTCGATGGTACAGAGACGACATGAGTCTAGATTCAACACAAATATAATTCAAAGTGTAAGTATTCCACAGCATGTAATTTTATTTGAAAAGAGCAATCGCTAGAGTTTCTAGCTCGTTCTTCTCAGGGAAGTTAACACAGTGAACGAACAATAGTTAAAAAAAAACGATTACTTAGACTTTGACTACGAAAAACTTGCATAAATCGTCATTTTTGCTTATTCGAAGTCAAAATTCGTTTAATAAACGTCAGCCTAACGCCTTGGCCACGAAAATATTGCCACGCTTGAAACGTCAATTTGCAGTAAGCGTCAAAATTTCATCATCGAAGCTTGGTAATTCGCTTACAGCGCCTTTGGTGGTAGGGGGAGTCAAGTACAATTCTTTTTTCGAAATAAAGAGTTATAATATTATTTAATATTTGTGGTGGAATATACTTTAAATATGTATTAATATTAATAAAGCAAATGAATAATTATTTGCTTTCAGTTGTAAGAAAACAACAAATAAAAACAAAACAATTTGTTTCGTGTCTTGTTTGACAGTTTCGTGCGTACTATGGAACTTTCTCGTATAATTGTTCTGGTCGCAAAAAACGCGCGTAACACACGTGTCGAATGTCGCTGCAAGTTGCAGCGCTATTTTATGGCCTTTTATGAATAGAATCATAATGTATTCGTAATTAGCGAATGACACTAGGAGCGCCGCGTCTCTTGGCCCTCGCCTAAGAACGGTCACATACAACGACTTTAGCAACGCGTCTGCAGCGATTCAATTGCGATGCAGTCGCTAATTATCTACCTTTATGCTGCGACCGTACTTGCATCTATCGTCATGAAGCAATTCGCGCCGAAGCTTCGTATGTGGTCACATTAGCGGCTTCGTAATTTTTAGCGAATTATCGTGTAATAATCCAAGATGGCTGCAATACAATTTCCGGACCTATTGACTATGGACGACGACTTTCTTTACTTCTACTTGTGTGCGAAGAATAACTTCATGCATTTATTGACAGTCAAAATAAACTCATAACGAAAAAACATCTAATCGGACCGAGAATAATTGAAATGACATATGCTAGTCTGACTACGCAGCCCGATGTTATGCGCGCTAAAACCGTTTAATGTCCAGCCCGAATATTCGCGACGATAGCCGATAATGGATGGTCACACCAACGAAAGAAAAAAAAACAATGGAAGTGCTTTAAACCTCGATTACTACCAGAACCGATGTCGCCAAAACTCACACGTTTTTAATTTGAAACACTACAAAATCTTGACATTGATTTGTCGTAGTTTCAAATTGAGAAAGAAATAACAAATTCTGGATTGTTAACATAATTTAAACTTCCTGTTGGCATATCGTTGAAAGTACAATACCTCTCATATCAATACCTATTATACAAGTTACGACGTTTTAATATTGTATTGAAGTTTCAATCAATGTGCTACCATCTAGCGGTTTATTGCTGAACGACGACGAATTGGAGTTATTAATTTAATTCTCCATAAAAACGAAAAACAAGCGACCATATTGCAGGGGTATAAGCTTTACTTTTTGTCTCTTGTAACAAAAAAAAATTCGATAAACAGAAAATTTAAAATTTATTAAAATAACACTCCGATGATATGAAATACCGCCACGGGCAATATTTATGGTGCTGCTATCATTTTTGCACTCCAATAAGGCATTTTTCTAGGATTTTAGAGAATCTACATGACACAATCATACAAAGCGAAAACGGCGGGCTGAGCCTAGGTTTTTTGAGACCTATAGTTACCACGCGTGTGATCATAATCATTGTGCGAGGCTTTGTAATGATAGACACAAGTGCGGCCGCATCATTACACACACGCGTGACTTAAGTAGCGATACAATCGTGATGTCAACACGATGTAAGTTTTTAATGATTCAACAAAAGCAACAGCATCAATGCAATCGTTGGCAACCGCCAATAAATAGTTAGTGTCGCAATGCAATACCGCTTCTAACAGTGTGTAGCCGCTCTATCAGTGTCAATTTGGACACAATAACCTGTCTAATAAAACAATGTACAGGCTTAACTGAGTCGGTTCCTGAGGTGAGGTAGCTGTGCCGTGCGAGAGGTGTGACAGTTTACATAAGGGCGCATTCCCA